TTTTTAAATGCTTTTGTAAAGATTTTCTTGTTTCTAATGCTATACAGTTACTATAATTGTCCATTACCACTGATAAATTAATGAGCAAATTGTAAATTACATTTTTCTGTATATATTTAATTTTGTTTTTCCAGTTTTTAAAAGGCAGACTAAACGCTCTTTCCTTGGCTGGGAGGAAACATCACTTCCTCTGTGCCAGGATGATGGATAACCCAGTTGGCCACTGCAGCGCCTCTTCTGCACCTTCAGCGAAGATGAGAAATAGAGAGGAAGAGGAAGAGCAGAAGGAGCGATACAGGTGGGAAGAGACACAGAAAATGCTGTGGCTCAAAAACCGCAACAGGAGGGAAGGAGAGGAGAGGATAGAAAGGAAGGATGCCTAATTAATCCGAGGTGTCAGAAATATACCCAGGAGATCCCTTCGTCTGTGTGCAAACCCGCAAACTGTTTATTTCTCTTTTCTTTCTCACACTAACAAAAAAATATCTCATAGTTGAGGCGCACACCCCTCCCCCAGATGCCCCCATTTTTTATCTAGCACTCACCTCCTTCCCTCCCTTCACACATCATTTCTCTTTCTCTCTCTCTCTCTCTCTCTCTCTCTCTCTCTCTCTCTCTCTCTGTCGTTCAGAGCTAAAATAAGCACAGCAGGTACTGGTGGAGGAAGCTGCTCTCTCCCCTTGAGCAGAGTGAGCTCAAACAGACAACCACACACACACACACACACACACACACACACACACACACACACACACACACACAGAACTACAACAACGAGACTGACCGGCAGTATTATAATGTCTGCTGCATTGATGAGACCCTGCAGTGGTCATGACGCCTCATTAAACAGCCAGTATTACTGAGTGGGTATCACGTCAAGCCGGGGAGGATTTGGCTCTGTGTCTAGTGTCGCCCTCATTATATTACATTCACTTTTTAGGCACTAAGCTGCTTCACAGTGACCTATAGTGATTGAGCAAGTGCGGGGGGGGTGTCTTCCGCCTACTGCTTAAACACGAGGGGAAACCTCCTCCTTTCTGTATTTAAAGTTGGTTTCCCTTTTACAGAAAAGCTCTTTAAAATATGCCTCTTTTTTTTTGGGCCCTACGGGATTAAGTAATGGAGAGTTTCCTTTGAGAGGAGTGAACCACTGTGTGAACACTGTTTGATGAGATAGGTGCTGACATGAACCAGGCCCGTGACACAATGAGAAAAATGTTCCACACAACAGTAAAGGCGCCATAAGCGCTCACTTTCACAAAGCTAGTGTTTGTTGCCTGGAAAGTGTTGTTACCAGAGGTAGACATATATTTTTTAGCCGCTTGCTAAAGCTCTGGAAGGTTAAAAAGATTTGCTTGTCTACCCTTGCTTGTTCGTTATAGTTGACAAAACCAAAATCTTCAGATTGCATTTTTTGAAAACTATACTCATAGATTATATTTGCTGTGTCAAGAACTTGACTCCAATTCTCCAGATGGTCGAGTGTCTTATTTGGCTTTAATTTCCACAGTGTACAAAGGCCGATCAGCAAATAAAACACAGACTCTTGCAACCGGTCAACAATTTGTCAAATAGTTTGTAAAATAGTTCTACCAGCTTCAGTATGACTCAGTGTTTACCTTTAGTCGATCTAAATCAGATTTTCTTGTTTGGAGGAACTTGCAAGTCTTGTCTGTCTTGTCTTTTCTAATGAGACATCGACATCGATTAATAAAAGTATCTTTTCAGCGCAGAAGTTCAAAGATATCAGTTTAATATAAAGGTTAAAAGAGAAGTCAAAGGACATTTTGCTGTTTTTTGTGAGAGAAATACTTTAAAGTATTTTGTCTTCATTTACAGTGTATTTCAGCAAATTCACTGTAGTTGTTAACGCGCCAGCAGGGGACGTATTGATTGCCAGATTTACTCGTTATTGATTTATCGCCTCCGAGGAAGGACAGAGAAAGATGGATGGAAAGAGGAGGAGTCCAAAAGAGATTTGTGCCAGCAGATGTTGTGTTTTTAATTGTGTCTCTTATTCAGCTGTTGAATTTGACAAATGGACTTTAAGAAATTATGAGTTGTACCAAATCCTTCAGTAATCCTTTTCTACGCTCAGCCTGACTTGTGAAATCTGAATCCAGACTGAGAATATTACATTTGATTGGTTTAATTCAGTCACATTCATTTAAAACTGATCATTAAATTAAATATTGATCAATAGCCATATCAGCATCAGTTTTTGTTAAGGAAACAAGCTTTAGTCCTTTTTCTGTACAGCCTCATACATTTATACTCCCAACCATTGTTCCTTCAATCTGCTTTACAACCTCCCTGCCCACACACACACACAATCACACACAACACACTTTATTATGTGGCAAATGAAAGAGGTGACAGCTGGCCTTAAGTGGCAGCAGAGTGAGTGATCACAACACAGAGAGATAAGAGTATTGATTAGTGTAGTCGTTGGATGTGTACAGGGACATGTGGCTCCAGTCAGTCATTTAGTCTTTCTCTATTACTCAAGCAGCCTGTGCTCATTGTCCACTTAATAGACTTTATTCAATTCATATTTTGCTTAATTGTCTAAAAATGTAAAGAATTGTTTCTTTCCCTTTCTCCCTGTCCTTGAATCTCTCTTCCTGTTTGCATTTAAAGTAGCAATTCTCCATTAAGCTGATCAATTTCTGGGTTGCAGTGACACAATATTCTGCAATGCTCCCATTGATCATCTACAACATACAGACATCTCAGTGATCAAACACTGATGAAAAATTATGTTTTAAGAAGGTTTTTGAAGGTAACGATAAAGCTACGTGTGGAAAAATAAATTGTCAAACTGCAGGAATCAATTCACTTTGCAACGCTGTGTAAGTTTGATTAACACCCAGCAGTTAACATAGCTTGCTCAGTGGACGTGAAGCTCATGCACAATGCATCCTGGTACATGCAGGCACTGCTGACACAGACCTCGGGTTTCTCCGTCAATATAGCAAACGCTGAGGAATTTATTGCTGCAACTGACTGATTGGACATCCGCATAAATCGTGGTAAATTTTCCGTTTAAGCTCCTAAAGATGAAGCCCTCAAACATACAAACAAACAGTCTTATAAACGTCTGATGCCTCCTTGCTAAAGGTTTTTCATACAGGCAGCAAACTGTCAAACCCTCCCACACAACTCACTCACATACCTCATTGTTGTGACTGTTAAGTTAATCTTGAAAATCAAGCGAAACAAGTCAATTTCCAACTGGTTCCTACAGTAAACCTGCCCAGTGCTCATTGTTGATGCTGTGCTCTGAAACGATGACAGAGGAGGATACATATACTGTTTCAGTGCTGCTGAAGTGCTAAGTAGGGCTACTTGGTGTCATGGAAACTAATTTTGCAGAGCCAAATCACACAAAGTAACTGTTTTTGGTTGTCGAGTAGCCCTTAATATTTGATTCTAGCAAGTACAATGTGAGACAGATTTTCCTCCCCATGCTGAGGTATGACACTGTTAATAGGTCTTGTTATTATTTGACAGCAGAAGAGTGGTTGAGCTTGAAGGCACCGTTTGTTCCCCTACTGACTTTGCAAAATACAGAGTTAAAGGCACCGAAAGTATGGTTTAAATAGGTTTTTCACAGTAATATTAAATATTCACAACTAAATAAGGAAATATCAGGAGTGGTTTCACCAGTTTAGTTATATAAGCAAACAACCCCACAACTGAGCCCCGCCGACTTAAAACCAGTGAAAAACAGCACAAAAAAAGAAATCTTTCATGTAAAATAACCTGTTAAAAAAAATAAACTGTTCTAACTCATCATGTAGGATCCCATCACTCAACATAAGAAGATAATGGAACAAATCTGTTTTCAGGGCTTTAAGTTTGCATTCTGTACACAATCACACACTCCTACGTGCTACCTGCCATGCCATCCTTGTACACACACACACACGAAACACACATCCACCACAACAAGTGACGTGCGAGGTGCCTCTCCACTGCCATTGCATGTTGGTGCCCAGGTGTTCGCCCGACCCCCCCCCCCCGGGCCCATTCAGTTTGCATGGGTATAATCATTAGTATTGTCCTGGAGCAGTGGTGCCTGACCCCCTCTAAACCATCACGGCCCTGCAGCAATAATGGGAATGCTAAATTGCAATTGTGTATGCAGTGGATTACCAGGCCAGAGGGCACAATGTCAGAAAGAAAGAGACAATGGGGGGCAATTGACTGGCTTAACTAACACCTGCTTTTTATATTGCCCACGTGGTTTGGGTTAACAGGGGATAAATGTGTCCCAAGAAGTTACAGTACAGGAGGGGTGTGTGTATGAAAATGTGGTTGGCCGATCGCTCACAACAGAAACTCCTGAAGAGAATGAATAGTTTGAGATGACATTAGAGGCGGATTGATTTTTCCAATTAGAAGCTTTAGTGGGAGGAAATGAGCCTTGCCGACACCGAGTGTACTGCAGAAAGTGTATCAGCAGTTTTCCTTCACGCGATCAATAGCCCTGTGATGCAGCAACCACCCCTCCTCCTCCTCCTCCTCCTCCTCCCCTCACCTCCCTCCCTCCCAGCCTGTGACCAAAGTGGAGCTCAGAGAGGAAGCAAGTGGGGGAAGGAGTGCAGAAAGAGACAGGGAGGAGGGGTGGGAAAGAAAGGGGTGGAGGAGAGGGAAAGCAGAGAGACGAGCTGCATATTTGATGAGTTGCCTCTGGATTGCCTGAAGACTCTCTAGGCTGAGACAGTTTTTACAGTTTCAAGTATATGTAAGTCGCTCTGCCTTTCATCTACTGATTCTCTGTCTTTAATCCCTCCTGCTGTGGCAAAGTTACAGGCCCTAACTTTTTTTTTTTTAAGTATGCATGTGTTTTTATACCTTCTCTTTATCCTCAACCCTCTTGACTCCTCTTTAAACTCTGGTGGTGGAGCCTTGCCGACTGACAAACCAGACAATGTGTATTTCTGTCATTAAGTCACAATACAGTGAGAACAGTGAACGTTTCTCCTTTGTCTTACCTGCGGGTGTCATGTAATAAGCCTCTATGTCAGCCATGTCCGTGTGCAGAGCACAGTCCAGATAACTCTGGATAACTTTCCTGCTGTAGTAGTAGCGCGCACCCATGAGAATGAGGGGCGCACAGCAGGTCAGCGTGACGGATTTGGTCACGAAAAAGCACATTACTATGGAGAAATGGAAGAAAAATAAACGAAACCTGTCAGAAAAGAGAATCACATGTTTGATTTTGGCGGAATTTGACCCCACACAGACACAGATCTGAGACAACATGACATTTGTAAGCATCAGTAAGTGAAACAGTTACATCAACTTCTGTTATGATGGTTCCAATATGAACATTTTGATAAAGAGAGATAAGGATTAGTGTCACACACAGGCGGAAGAGTAACATCTCATAGAAACTGTGAAGCAAGAGGCACATTAGTCCACATGGATAAACTTTAGGTTTTTCAGTAGAAGAGGGCATGTTAGTGTTGAATTCATCAAACCAGTTCAGTCCTTATTGGAGTAATTAGTCGGATGTGACGCTGGGGGGCGCAAAGGGAAACACAAACAAGCAGACTGGATGCTGCATAGCATGTTGCGTGGCATGCAATAACCTAGTAGTTAGTTTACTCCACTGCACCCCAGCGTGGAGTGAAACATCAGCGCTGGCATGTAGGAGGGACTTTATACTCTATTTAAGTCAATTATAACTGGCAACGTCACAGTCAGACCGCAATGAAGTAGAATTTGGGGGATTTTTACAAGCAAGACTCATGTTTTGTGACTTGAATGAGTCTAATTGACGCCTAATCGACTCTTTCGTGCCAAAACTGGATAGATTGTTTGAGCTTGTTGTTGTTTTTGGCGTGCGTAACGGCACCGCTCACGATACATGAGGTTTTCATCTGCGCCGGTAACGTCAACAAAAGCCAAACGGGATCCGTGCATGACTGGCGCAGAGGCGGAAAGGAGGGGGGAGAAGCGCCCGCACTGTGCGTGTGCTCGCCGCGGGGGGTGTGTGGGGAGAGAGGGAGAGAGGGAGGGAGGGGGGGTTGGTGGTGTTTTTTCTGGTACGTACGCGCACCCAGTGGGCCAATCCTCAAATTCATTCACTCATTCATTCACGGCACCGGCATGTCATCACACCATCAGCAGGCCCGCCGGTTATACACGTGCACCATGCGCCTGGCCATGCCTTTTGTTGCATGATGAGCAACATGCCGGTGTGCGCCGGCGGAGGGAGGGAGAGAGAGAGAGAGAGAGAGAGAGAGAGAGCCGCTGCAACAGATTTCAACTTAACCGTACATCGCCTACAGGGCCGGATAGTGCGGAGAGACGTTAGATTTGTGTCGGATTTTAGGCAAGTTCCTCAAATAAATCACGTTAGGATGCAAACATAAGGGGGGGGTATTTATCCTACAGTGGGGAGGTGAGGTTAGAAATAACTTCTCTTTACATAATTGATGTTAGGGATTATGTTGGAGTTTCATATGTTATGTGAGAGGGGGACCTAACGTAAACCGGTGTAGGACACATGATGCAAGGTAATGAGGGTACTTACCTGTCAGAAGAGCATATAAAAACTGAGTCTTGGGCTGCTGCCTGAGCCCCCTAAACGCCGTGTTGGGTATCCTCTCCATAATACCCTCGTAAAAGATGCGCCGCACCTCCTCCTGATCCCCGCGCTCGAACTCGCGGATAAAAACCGCATCTTTCCTCACATCCTTTGCCTCGGCGGGGTTTAGAGCCGCGCTGGACGGAGGAGAGCTCCACATGATCGACTCTTTTTTGGTCCCAGGTATAGCATCGTGTTCGTCCGCAACAATTTTAGTCTCGCAAACCATTTTGGGAGACGAAAAATGCATGCAACTGGCCGCAAAAAAACAACTACAGTTCGGAAAAAGGAGGGAGAATGAGAGTGAAAAATGGATGATGCGTAAGATTTTCTTAAAAAACAGAGAAACGATGAAGGGGGATAAGACGAAAGGGGGATGTTCTGCTGCAACCCTGAGCGTTTCTGACGACCAAGACTTGCCGGTGTGATTCAAGCAGTATTTATAAACGGGCAGGGCGGGTAGATTCAGGTTCAGGGGTTGGGGTGGTCCTCTCGCTGCACAGATTGGTGGAAGCGGTGCGCCGTTAAATGCTGGTGGACGAGGGAGGAGGGAGGGAGAGAGACAGACACAGTCGCTCGCTCTGCATCTGATCAGGCTTGTGTGTGTGCCGGTGTTAAGTGTGTATTTTGAGGATGTGGGCTTATGAGGAGGAGGAAGGGGGGGGGGGGGGTGATGGCGAGATTGCGTAGAGAGGTTGCAGATTGTCTTCATTATGTCTTTCAATGAGGAGGATCCCCTGTTTGTTGCGATACGGTGGCCATAAAGGATGCGATACGCAGCACAAAGGCGCAAGGTAAAGCGGGGGCGATGCGTCAAACAGGAGGAAATCCCACTAACAAGGGCGCCGCGGCTTAGAAAACGCTGTTCTTGAGTAAAGAAATTGGAGCTTACAGCCATTCGTGATGAAGGTTTATTATTAAATTCGATATATATAATAGTTTTATAGTAGATTTTCGGCCTGGAGCTCCTAAATGCAGCAGATCGGTGGACATCTCGGTTGTTGCGCAGATTAACAAACTACTGTGCCAATGAGGGGGTGGGACAGATCCTGATATAAGACATCCAGATTTATATCCTGATATGAATCGACATTAAAAAGAACAGTATAAAACCTTAAACCTCAGCTGGCAGTCGCCCTTATGTCCGGGCACTGGCTGCAGGCTCTCAGTGGGCTGTGTGCAGCCTCCTCTGCCTGTTGACTGACAGCTCTGCTGCACTGCAGTGATTCCTCCACGGCTTCCCTTCGCTTTGTCACCCTGCTCCTGTCATACATCAGCCCCTAACATGGAGATTATATCTCAGCCTTACTGCGCATCTGAAAACCTCCCATTTGCCTATCTGTCTGCGACTGGCACCGTGCAACCAGCGACGACAGTGTCGGCTCTTTACGCACGACTGTGGCGGCAGCGGCGGCTGTGGTGATGCTCGATCCGGCCCTTTGTTGTCCCCCGACACTCCCTATAATTAACCGTGACTGTTATTATCCAGAGTCAAGCCTTCATGAATAAAAAGTGTATGCCACGAGATTTGCGTGTGCTTTTATTTTGACAGCTTCGATATCACGAGTGGGGAATGGAGGAGGTTTAGTTGGTATTTGCGGTTAAAAGCAACAGTTAAGTCAAAGATTTAAAACAAATTATAATAATATACATATAAGCTTGATATCCAGCTGGAAAACAATAGGATTCATGTCTATATTAGAACAAAATGTTCTCATACAGTCTAACCAGCACCAGTACTGCGCGTCACCTGCACGCGGTAATACCCCTAAATTAACATCATGCTATAAAGTTTCTCTTTGCCACTGAAATTAAGAAAGTCCACATGTTCATATTAGCCCAGAGACCATATGGAAACATGTTGTGGCTGCTGCTCTTTGTGGACGTGTGGAGCCTCGCAGAGCCACAGTCGCATATGTAAAGCAGAACTAGTTTGAACTGGATCATCAGAGGCAACCTGCTATTGATAAGGCTGCATCCACCCCCACTCCCTCCCTCCTCCTTAAGGTATCCCCCTCCCCCTCCTGCCATCATAGAGCTGCCGTGGGGGGGGATGAGGAAGAGGAGGAGGAAGGGCATATAACAAGCAGAGTGAAGAAGAGTCCTCACATACTCTGCTCAACCCGGACATTTGCTCCAAAAAAAAAAAAAATGCGCAAGAAATAAATGTTTTTTCTACGCATCAGCATCTGTTCTGCAGCGGTTCTCACCATGCCGACCGGGTGGAAGATGCTCTGAGCATGCGCAGTGCTTCTTTTTGGTTGACTCCCGGCGGTGCTGCCTTCAAGTGCTGTCGGTAATGTCGCCGCCATGAAATGAGCGCACACAAACGGCAAAGTTGTAAAAAAAAACAATATCTAATTTTCTGAGACGAAGAATCAAATAATGGAAAATAATTTTACCTATTTTAACCCCACACATTTATCAATGAGACATCAATTTTTTAGAATAATTTTGCACTGCAGTCGCAAGTCTGTGCCACGGTTTTGGACATCCACCAAATCCTTCTTCTGTCCCATAGTCTGCTTTTTATTTTCCTGAACATCATCACATTAAAAATAATAACCCAGTTCAGTGAAACATATAAATATATCTCAAGGAAAATAACACACAGTGGAGATTGATTGTTCCTGATTGCTCCTTGTGTGTCCAAACTGTGCAGTAATAATCGTGATTGTGTTTTCAGGCCTGTAATGAGAGCAGGTGTTTGTTTTGATAGTGTGCTGTAATTTGTGACAGACTGGAGAAGGTTTTACGTCACCAAGGTTGTGAAGTAACCTTAGCTCGAGGCTGCCTCCAGCCTGCAGATTACTATCTTTATACTACATTTAGCAGTCTTGAGGAGATTTCCATAGATTAGTCACAAAGGGTTTGTGAATGACAAGGATGCCAAAAGAAAAATCCGGTAGTTGGAAGGTGCTTTAAGATATTTTTGAAGAACTGGCACTGAAATATGACTAGACACACACGAAGTGGCATTGTTCACCCTGTGTGTCTGCTAATGATACAGCTTACATAAAGGAGGTTTCATTCCTGGAAGACTGGTGTGCAGTCGACAACTTGGAGTCAAATGTTTCCAAAAGAAAACATCTAGTGGTGGACTTAAAGGACCAGTGTGTAGGATTCAGTGGCATCGAGTGGTAAAGTTTTAAATTGCAACCAACTGACCACCGCTCGGGGCTGTATTTGACAACCTGTGAAGTGTGTAGGACAAACTACGGTGGCCTCAAAACTTGGTTTGTCCATTCTGGGCTTCTCATTCTAAGGTAACAAAACCATGATTCCTGTATTCAGGTGATTATACACTACTGGACCTTTAAGAGTTGTTTGTAAGGTGTTTCATGATGACTGTTCTATATACCAACAGTGTTTTAAGCTCTTTAAATAAAATATAAAATATGAAATGTGATGTGAGGTTTGTAGAGTATTCTCTCTTTTTATTCAGTCAGTCAGTGGATAGTTCAGGTTCTTCTGCTGGTGCCTCACTGGGTCCTTCAACACATTCATCACTTAATCTCAAATGTGTGTTTGACACATCAGCTAATAAGGGGAGCAACAGTTATAAGACACATAACAGCTTAAAAATAAGGATTTTTCTGTAACAGCTACACAGCAGCGACTAAAATAACCCCTGTCAAATCTTTAGCTCGTGTTATTATTCCTGACAGCTTGAAAATGCGCTGAAATTGTACTTACAGTACAGATCACATGAACTGGTTCACAGGGAGCAGTACAATACATAACAGCAGTTCAAATACGATCATATGTTTTCATCAAAAGGGACACAGAAACATATTGTTTGAGTGTCACGTGTTTAAATGATGTGACTGATAAATGCTCTTAAACGTCAGAAGTGAGTGGGAATGGATTTTCATGGTGTAGCTAGTTATAAAAGGTTCAAACATCCTGACACTGAATCAGAAGTGAGAAGGAATGAGATGAGCACATCCAGCATTCATTTATGCTTTGTTCTTTCTTTCCCAAGGAAAACAATTCCTCATTTACATACTATAACATTCAGGACTAAAGCTGCGTCCCCTCCCACGCTACATATTAATACTATAAATTGTACTTGTATTAATCTGCACTATTAGCATTCTTCGTTAGAATTTCTCTGTAACCGCTGGATGAGATTTCATGACGATCCATCTTATATTTTCCAGGATATTTCACAAACTAACAGACCCATTCATCCCCACACAGAGCTCCACATATTGTTCTAATAATCTTATATGTGACCTCTGACACTTTGGGTTTCCCTGCAGCTGAGGACCCCCCCCCCAATAAAGGTCACATCATGCCACTGCTGCTCCTGCCGTGACCTCTTGAGTCTTTACAACGACTGGGCAGCACGGTGGGACTCAGACGTTTAAGGCTACAGCGTGTGTACAGCCTGTGTGCACGGTACAGAAAAGGTAAGTTTATTTGTACAGCACCTTTCAACCACACACACATTTCATTGAGATACATTCTAAGTGTATGATTACAGAAGCATGCATGGAGAGATTAGGAAACACTGGGCCCCTGCAGACATGTTACCCCTCCCCTCTATCAGAGCATCCCCACCCCCTCCCTACACGTCGTCCACATGTTTTCCTGTGTTTGTTTTTCTAGCTGCAACTGACATCTTGTCCAAATTGACTTTTTTTATATATATGTTTGATTCCTGCCGACAAACATTTTGCAAAACGTTTAATATTTCGTACTGAAAACGTGATTTAATTTCTGTATTTTAAATCGTAGAATCTGTATTATTTGGTACGCTTTCACATACACAGTGGTGGAAGCAGTTATCAGATCCTTTCCTTAAGAAAAGTAGCAAGGTACAGGAAAAACAAGTGACAGGTAAAAATATACTAACATTAATTGTAAATTAGCAAGTAAAAGCCCGGTGCTATCAGAGAAGTATTTCAAACAATTGTGTGTAAATACAAGACAAAGTAGTTAATTCAGACCTTTTTAAGGCTGTACATTTTCTGGCTCAGTTTCAGCTGTTAAAGAAAGAAGAAATGGTCAGACCGACCTTCCTTCTTTGTGTGTGTGTGTGTGTGTGTGTGTGTGTGTGTGTGTGTGTGTGTGTGTGTGTGTGTGTGTGTGTGTGTGTGTGTGTGTGTGTGAGAGAGAGAGAGAGAGAGAGAGTGAGTTGTGACTCATTACCGGAGGACTGTCTCCCTCTTGTGGTCACAGGTCAGAGGCACAAAGCCATACTGGAATTTGAAAGTTGGTTCAGAGACATGGAAATGAGTCATTAGATCTGTAGCCACATTATTCTTCAGACAGTCACTGTAGTTCCCTCCCGATAAGACTCAAATCATGAAGCAGCTGAGGGCAATGGGAATTACTCCCTTTGACCTTGTTGCTGTGGAAGATGTTTCAGATGTTACATGAATATTGATGTTGAGTTTTTCTTTATGGACAATAAAACCAGAGTGAGACGAATACAGGAGCCAAATGTGGAATAGCTGATTTGGGAGTTTATTCTTTCACCATATCTCTTAACCCTCAAGGTGCTGGTCAAACACAGGAGTCCTTTCAGTGCACCACAGAGCGCCACAGGCAGTCATTCCTGACTGCGGACATCAAACTCCTTAACTCCCCCCTCAGACGGTCAGACACTGAGTCATTGTCATTAAACTGACCC